ACTTGCATGCCAGATACAAACCAGAAGCTCTCCACAGAAGTCCTTAACCTCACGTTTGAAAGGGAACTGAGTGTTTTCACCTGCTAAAATCTCAGTCTGGATTTCAGATGAGCGACCCCGGCCTGAAAGATTTTGTTTCCTCTCTGAAGCATCCAATCACTCACACCTCTCTCTCTATCTAAATAAATAGAGACGTGTTACTGCAACACAAGTCATAAATAAGGCCTTGCGCCGCCAAGTAACATAAAAAATGCTCACTGTCTTTAATAGTTTTAATTTTACAACACATCAATAATATTTAGTTTTACAACTACGAAGATTTTAAACATGTTCTTTCACTAATATAAGAAAATATGCACATGAAAACTACTTCTGGAAATATTTATTTTATGGTAACTTTACAGGACAGGACAAAAATAAAAAGGAAAGGTACCTGGAACTTCAGTGAAAGCCTCTCCAAGGACGGACACGTGAAAAGGTAGGTCTTGCTCTTTCAGTTTCAGCAGGACTTTAAAGAAAGTTTCAGGATCTTTGTCATGCTCCCTTAAAACAAACAGAACTTATCTCAGCATCGTTTGTGTTTACTTGTGGAATTGTTGGGGGTTTTTTTTGTTTATAGGAACAGTGTTTCTCTGAAATTGTACTTTTGGGGACTAAACGCCTTCAGTATAAATTCCCTCTTTGCCTGCGCCGCATGGTTGAACATTATCCTCGACCCACCACTCGAATCAGAACTCAGTTTAGATTCTTCTCTTTCTTCCCTCTCTTCACATGATGCCCTTACTCTTCAAGTTACCCCCTTTGAAAGTGAGAAGGACCTAGTAACATCTCACCTAGCTGAAGGCAAAATCATGTTAAAAAATGGGCAGGGTAGGAAAAAACCCTTGTTTTTTTCCTGTCAAAAAAATATGTATACAATCTCCCATACAGTTTACCCCCTTTTTCAGGAGGAAAAGGTCAATCAAAACCTAAAAATGTATGATTTCCCAAACTGTAATTTTATGAATCCACGCTGTACTAATGTAAAGCTTCTGATCTGTTCGGTGCTTTAGGTAAAGAAGAAAGGAGTAAGGTGTTTTCTACCTTTAGACTTCTAAGGAGTTAACTGGCAGTTAAAATAGAAAGCAAGAAACCTGTATTTATTTATAATTTCAGCTGAAGAAAATATTAAAGGTTCATATGGGTATGACACTCAATGCCTTGAAACATGAGTTTGGCTATCTAAAAAGAAAATAAAAAGCCAATTTGCTAATCTATCTTCTTCACTAAGACAGAATGAAAGGTTCAAAAGGTACCACAGATGATCTAAATTCCCCAAATTCAGTGAGTTATATTAAAAATGAAATAATTCCCCCACTCTAAGGTGAATATTATATCTTGCATTTAATGACCCTAAATTATTGTATTTCAGACAGATGTGCACCATATGTCTTTAAAATATTTAGGTTTTATTTATTATTTAGAAAATTCCACCGTTTTCCTTCCTGTATTAAGGGAAAATCTATAGCTCAGCTGTCCTGGTGTCTTTCTTCACAGACTAATTTTGTAGAATGAATCTGTAGGTTTGTCACACTGCTATATGAAAGATTAATAATTATATGATTCAGGAAATCTGAAGCCAAATGACATCTGCAGCTCTACATGTGTTAATTTCTCATTTAGTCAATATTTTTGGTTTAGGGAATTAAAACAAATTAATCTTATAATTAATGTGACTTTCCTAGGCTGAGAAATCTTCAGGAACTGTGGAGTTTTCAGAATTAGTTGTATTTTCTTAAAATAAAGCCAGACAATAATTACTTTAAGAAGTCCTCCATCTCCCAGATTTGTTTTGTTCTCAATAATAAGGAGGAATGCAACTGCATAAGCTTCGTAATTTGTTTCACATCTGTGAACCAGGAGTTTTCACGGTGGTTCCAGTAACCAAAGTGGATATGAACACTGGCTCGGAGAGAGAATTTTTCCAGTTGCAAAGATCCCAGAACCGCCTACTAGTTTGCTTGCATCCTCACACTTAAAGTACGCACCTCTTTCTGGTAGGTAAATTATGTGCAGAAACACGTTGCCAGTATTTTAGTTCTCTCCACAGTGCCCAGCTGAAAGAGCCGCAATGGCATTACAGTCGAGGGTTCAGCCTTGGCTAGAAGGGAACATCTCTGTCAGAAATGTGCAAGGAAAACAGCTTGGATGCTGGGAGTCGGTGTAATTCAGAACAATGTTTCCCGTTAGCCTCGGTTTCCCCCAGGCAGGCTCTTGGGGGTGCTTTACGAGTGATCCTGGTGAGCTCACCCCGTACGTGATGCTGAGCTACGCACCGCTCGTCCCGAGGTGGGCCGCAACATCCCTGTTACACAGAGCGGGCAGCCTCCGCAGACGGAGCCACGGCACTTACAGGAATTTTCCCAAGGTCTTCGCAGCCCCGCTATCTGCTTCGTAGTCACAAAAAGTCCTTCCAGCAAAGGATATGCTTTCCCTCTCCCTTTCCAGAAGAGACCAGGGGTCCCAGAGGCAGCCAAAAGTGGAGGATGCTGTTGGAGCCACATTGTCAAGGAGCTGGCAGGAGAGTACGGAGCCTTACAGCTCGTCGAAGCCACATAAGCTGCACATATTTAGGAAAACTGATAGGAATTGGAAGTTGCAGCTTTGTTTAATAGGTGGGGAAGAACAGAAGGAAAATTTGGCACCCAAAAGGAATGCTGAAAGGGGAAACATTTCCTCTGCACTGGAGCCTCTCTTATGGGTTTGCTGCTGTAGGTGATCCTCCTTCCACATCCCCTTTTAAAAGGTTTTGCTTTTATATGACACTCACAGATTTTAATGACACGTTTTGTGAATCTTGTAGCTTTTCTATTTGGGAGGTCATCTTGTTCGATTTATCAGTTCCTGTGAGTTTCCCACACCCACAACCATTTTATTTTCAACTGAGACCTGCAGAAAGCTTCTAGCACGTGCCCCTTACAGATTGCGATGCATTATTATTCTTGCAAGTTAGTAAAGGTATAGCTGCTCCTGGTAGAAAGCAATAAATAGTGCAAGACCACCTCTTTACTGCATCAAAAAGAAGAGAGCTCTGTTTCTTGGCTGACATGGAGAAAATCATATACAATCCAGTCTGCCTTACTCAGCAACAACTGCTAAACACACCAGATTGTCATAGCAGTGATCGTGGAAAAAGATGAACACAATATGGAATGTCTGTTCTGTAAAGATCTGCTCAAAATGACGTGCACTTTTGGCTGCATCTGTTGCATTTTTGAGCTTTATTAAACAGTATTAATTATATATACTCCATTTCCTTAAGAAGAACTGCAAAACTGTATAAAAGCCTGCTACTAAAATGCAAACTTTTCTTTTAAGATAATATGTTTTGGGAAAAACTAAGCTAACGCAATTCTAGGGTCTGGCTTTGTTGTTCAGTTTAAGTATTTGAAATGCTCTTGCATTTTTACTCAATTTGATATGCATCTGGTAAAGGGAAAATAAGAACTGGGCACGGTATGAAGGTACTCTAAATTTCTTTGTAAGAACACGAAAACCTCAGAATGCCCAAACTCCAGCTGTAAATGCCACAAACCAGACACAGGCACCATACCTGCGCTTGGATTTGAGAGCACTGCCGTGGGAACAATCTCCATGTTTAGATACTGCACACTGGAAATTTTTACCCAGGATTACTCGAGGGGTTTGGTTTTTTTTCATTTTTAAGTCTAAAACACATTTTAAGAGAGACATTTGAAGTCCTTCTTAAGAACTGCCTGAGGTTTAGTGGTCTGGGTATGGGAACGTGGCCCAGGGTTCAGCCTGATTTAGTGACTTCCCTTTGTGATCTGAAAGAAAACTTTCAAGACTGTCCTTGAAAGGGGGATTGGGAGGCTGGTGGTAGCAGCACCACCAGTACTGAGCTTCCATTAGCTCTGCCCTAGGTTTTCTGTTTATAAAATGGGTGTGACAGTATTATTTCTTCACCACAGAAGGATGCTGTCAGGATTAATTGATGATTGACATCCCTCTTTTCGGCCTCAAATGATTAAAAAAGCAACTTTGTAGCACCACGACGATGCTCCTCTATGCAATCAATGGCAACGGTCTTCAAAAGACCCTTCTGCTACTCAGGGGTTTTGTGAGCTCAGCCGGAGCCCTCGAGCCTCACCCACTGCTGGAACTGGAAGGAGAATGCGCAGAGACCAGCTGAACTGGAGTTATTCCCTGGGGCTGCAGGATACCCACATCCCTGACCAGCGATGGGAAATACATTTTAAAAAGATTAAAAGAAATAGCAGAATTTGGCCCTTTACAGTATTCAGTGCATACTCATCCTTTGAATTTGAGTGAAATTCAGTGGGAGACCCATATGATCTTCTGTGACTTAAATTTTACTTCTTAAGTATATATAAACTCATCATAAATGGTGATAATCACAGTTATTTACGATTTGGAGGAAGACACATCTAGCTCCGCAATTAGAAAGCAGAAGAGTTGTGGAAAAGAGACAAGGCTTGCTCAAAGGGGCAAAGCAAACGCAGTCACTTTAAAAAAAATAATCAAGACCTATGGTTTCTGCAAGTCGATCAGTAACATAAAAGTACTAAGCCAGGGGAGAAAGTCTTAATATTTGAGAAAATACTGTGAAAAGGCTACATAACGCTTGTGATAACAACATCCCTGTCGTGCCATCTCTCAAGGTGCTATGTATTCTGAAAGGGTTACAAATAAGCTCAGCTAAAAGCGATATTAAAAGGGTTGATCTTAATCTTCTTAGGACATTTAGCACGGGAGATTTTCAGTGGTAGAGAATCCCAAATAGTGAGGGCACGCGGTAATATCTCACTTTTTACAGCGCCTTAAATCCAAGCAATTCAAACTGGGTTGCATCTCCTGCTGCCTCCCCATTTCATAAAATCATCTGAGTGTCAGACGGGCAAAGGTGGGAAATGGCAATACTTAAACAGGTAAAAAATCTTCAGAAGTTAAACTAGCATTTTATTTTTTTTATATATATA